TTGTTTTCACCGTCGACAACAAGTGGGTGTTGTTACCTGCTCAAGTTGACTGGTTTCTCAACATTAGTCTCGGCTCCCCCTACGTGTTCACGGAGAACAAAGACAACTACCTAAACAAAGTTGTGAACAACGGAACCCTGCTCGTGGCTTACGTCCCGGAGCAGAAGCATAGCATAATGATCAGCCCACTCTCCAGTATGGCAGCCCACATGCTGTCGAGCAGGCCCGGGGTGCAAAACATGGGATTGCGGTTGGTGTCTGAATTCGAAGGCGTGGTCAAAATCCTGGAAGGTCTACCAGCAAATTCAACGCTGGTCATCCAAGTCTACCTAGGGGAACCATCGCAGGACGAAGTCGAAGTCGTGAAGGGAAACAAACTCCGGTGGGTGAAACGGCACCAGTATCACGTTTGCGCTGTTAACGTGCGGGTGGGTGTGCAGGGGGTCGTCGTGACCTTGGAAGACACGATATCACTCACCACGATCTTCTTACCCAACAACATACACTTCATGGGGGTGAGGTGCACCCCTGAACTACTATCAGAAAAACAATTGGAAAATATCTCGTAATATACTGAGTCAAAAAAGAAACTTCACAAAATGTAATTTGAAAAATAATGAATAATTTTTTTCTGATGATACATCTATGTATCCGAAATGGGATCCCTATCTTTCGACTCTAGAGAAACGTTAGCAAATCCCACTCAAACCCATCTATTCTTCGTGCAAATGATGTTAGTGCCAAATCAGGTTTTGCACGTGCAGTTGATCATGTGATCTTCGCATCGAAGTTTTCTTCATATGCCCGTGTTTGCATTGGCCTCAAGAATTGAAAAAAACACTTTTAAACCACAGTTCTAACGGTACTTGAAATGCCACGATTGTCAAATGTGCAACGTGAACTTGCCGTTGGCATGTTGCAAGCGGGAACATCAGTTATTGATGTCGCAAGAGCAATGGGATGCAGCCGTCGTACTGTGTATGACTTGCGAGGTCGTCTACAACAAACTGGCACCACTTCTGATCGCCCAAGGTCGGGTCGTCCACGTGTGACGTCACGAGCAGAAGACCGTCAAATCGTCCTACGTCACCTACGTGACAGATTTCTGCAGGCTACACGAACCAGAGCTGAGATGTTTAGAGGTCGAATGTTCTCACAGACCATTCGAAATCGGTTGCAGGCTGCCAATCTCCATTCTCGACGTCCTTATCGTGGGCCAATATTGACGCCGTTTCATCAACATCAACGTCTGCAATGGGCCCAACGTCACCTCCGATGGAACCAGAGAGACTGGAAACGAGTCGTCTTTAGCAATGAATCCAGGTTTACCCTCAGATTCGCGGACGGCAGGCATAGAGTCTGGAGACGACGTCATGAACGGTATGCCCAATGTTGTGTACAGGAAGTCGACAGATTCGGGGGCGGAAGTTGCATGGTGTGGGGTTCTTTCTGTGGGAACAACCGTTCCCAACTCCTGTTCATCTGTGGAAACCTCACAGCTGCTGCTTACCGCGACCAGGTGCTCTCCCCTGAACTCATTCCTATAGTGCTAGGTATTGAAATAACAGCTGGGGTTGTAGGGGTGGTAGGGTTGGCGTTTAAGTTTGCATCCCGCAGCCTGCATTGTAAGGCATTGAAACACGACGAGGTCAGGGTTCTGGCCGAAGCAAAGCTGAACACGGTAAGTGAGTGTATTTCCACAGCACTCACTGACAGTAAGATCTCAGAGGAGGAATTTCGTTCAATCCTCTCTGAACTCGACAAGTACCGTAAGATGAAACAAGAAATCGGGTCCAAGTCTCGTAAGCCTGCTATCAGCGAAGACGAGAAAAAAAAGTACATAGAACAGGGGAAACAACAAGCCCAGCAAGCCTTCATTACGAAAACCAAAGAAATCATAGGAGATTCACGTTAAACTGTTTCATTGAGGTCAACACGACATAGGGTGGGCACATGATCAGGAAAGTGCTAGTTCGCGGTCATAGTGACACAATAGTGCCACGGGCGACCAGGAAGTTAATTCGGGATTCAAAAACTGGTATACACAATGGCGGCGAGATCTAAGGGCCTGACAAAAGCTTTATTTAGCAAATAAGGCTTTACAACGGCTTTTGTTGGACTTGGTCTCGGACCGCAATTGTGCCGTTTGTAACAGAACGTTAAAGAACGTAATAATGACATTTCGACGGCCCGATGTGTTTTCCCATGCTGTTAACAAAGTTTGTAAAACATTCAGTTGGATATACTTCAAACAAAAACGAAGATTTTACATTTTTAAGAAATAGTGTTACCAATAGCTTGACCCTTCATTAAAGACGCCGAGTATATATCATGCATGGTATAGCTTGTTAACTTGATTTGGTAGAGTGACCCACAAGAACAGGTATGAGGCTCACAAAGTCAGACACATAATCACCTGGTACGTGTCAAACACCAAATTACCGCGTACCTGTCATGCTCATAATTACCTGGTACCTGTCAGACACACAATGACATGGTCCTAGTCAGATACATAATTACTTGGTACCTGTCAGACACACGATTACTCGGTACCTGTCAGACAAATAAATCCCTTGTACCTGTCAGACACATTATCACCTGATACCTGTCAGACACATAATTATCTGATTCCTGTCAGGCACATAATACTTGGTTCATGTAAGAAACGTAATTACCTCGCACCTGTAAGACACATTATCACATGGCACCTGTCAAACATATTATAACCTGGTACCTGTTAGGCACACAATTGCCTGGTACCTGTCAGGCACACAAGTAACTGGTACCTGTCAGACACACAAGTACCTGGTACCTGTCAGACACACAAGTACCTGGAACCTGTCAGACTGACAGACGCCGCTTTTAGCAATATTCCAGCAACATCACGCCGGGGGACACCAGAAATGGGCTTCACACATTGTACCCATGTGGGGATTCGAACCTGGGTCTTTGGCGTGACGAGCCAACGCTTTGACCACTAGGCTACCCAACCCCCCCTGGAACCTGTCAGACACATTATCACATGGTACCTGTCAAACATATTATTACCTATTACCTGTCAGAAACACAAGTACCTGGTGCCTGTCAAGCACACAAGTACCTGGTACCTGTCAGGCACACTCGTACCTATTACCTGTCAGACACACAAGTACCTCGAACCTGTCAGACTGACTGACTGAGTTTGGTTTTACGCCGCTTTTAGCAATATTCCAGCAACATCACGGCGGGGGACACCAGAAATGGGCTTCACACATTGTACCCATGTGGGGATTCGAACCCTGGTCTTTGGCGAGACGAGCCAACGCTTTAACCACTAGGCTACCCAACCGCCCCTGGAACCTGTCAGACACATTATCACATGGTACCTGTCAAACATATTATTACCTATTACCTGTCAGGCACACTCGTACCTGGTACCTGTCAGGCACACAAGTACCTGTTACCTGTCAGGCACACTCGTACCTATTACCTGTCAGACACACAAGTACCTCGAACCTGTCAGACACATCATCACATGGTACCTGTCAAACACATCATCACATGGTACCTGTCAAACATATTATAACTTATTACCTGTCAGACACACAAGTACCTGGTACCTGTCAGACACACAAGTACCTGGAACCTGTCAGGCACACAAGTATCTGGTACCTGTACGACACACAAGTACCTGTTACCTGTCAGGCACACTCGTACCTGGTACCTGTCAGGCACACAAGTACCTGGTACCTGTCAGACACATCATCACATGGTACCTGTCAAACACATCATCACATGGTACCTGTCAAACATATTATAACTTATTACCTGTCAGACACACAAGTACCTGGTACCTGTCAGACACACAAGTACCTGGAACCTGTCAGGCACACAAGTATCTGGTACCTGTACGACACACAAGTACCTGGTACCTGTCAGGGACACACAAGTACCTGGTACCTGTCAGGCACACAAGTACCTGGTACCTGTCAGACACACAAGTACCTGGTACCTGTCAGGCACACAAGTACCTGGTACATGTCAGACACACACGTACCTGGTACCTGTCAGACACACATGTACTTGGTACCTGTCAGACACATAATCACATTCCACCTGTCAAACACATAACTACTTCATACCTGTCAGACACACGATTACTTGGTACCTGTCAGACACATAATTACCTGTTTCTTCACACTTCGTTATGTCGTAGTATGTTATTGTGAAAGGCTTACAGTTTGCTATGATGCCAATGTCTGAAGGAGTAGAAGTGGCTTAACATTTTGATAATCAACTAAACAACCAAAGCAGCAAACCTGGCATCCGAATGCAATTAGTCGCCTCTTACGACAAACATGGGTTGCTGAAAACCAACCCGGATCTAAACGGGTTGACTCCACAGTAGAAATAGTTATATATAACAATGTATCTTGAGATAAGATGCGTCCCATCCATCGTGTATATATGTGGCTATTGCCTGTTGGGTAAAGACTTCGTCTCCAGGCTACTGTGTAGAATTCACAGTCACTGCAAGCTCCAAGACTGGTTGGTCGCGATACAGTTGTTTGAGTTCTGAACTCAATATGTAACATACGTGTATTTGTTTCTTGTTCAACGTGGCACTCAGGAATATTACAGCTATTGTTTCAGTGGTTTGTAAATAATCGAGTCTGGATCAGGCAATCCAGTGATCAACAGCGTGAGCGTGGATACACTCTACAGGGATACATGTGTCAACCAAGACAGCAAGCATGACCACCCGATCCTTTAGTCGCCCCTCACGACTAGCATGGGTTGCTGAAGGTCAAGTCTAACCTGGATCTTCACGGGAAGTACATTTCATAGGCACTGCAATTTCCAAGAGTGGTTAGTCCAGTTACTGCTGCAGTAGATCTGCATCCCACATTTTAGATGTATTGCTTTCATTTTTTCTAATGTGTTGTGCTTGCCGCTATATAGCTGATCGATGTCAGATGGGACGTAAAATATCTGCAAATTTATAAAGCTATGTTCATTACCATTGCTTGGGATCGTTCCAATTGCGCAGTACCTCTCCTCAGCAGCAGCTGGAACATAAAACAAACTCATTTGCCAAAGGCAAAAATACCAGACAAAATTTTTCTTAAAGCTGACATTGTTCTGGCTAAAAACGTCTTTCCTAAATTTGGCTCCCGAAATAAATTGCATTGTGTATTTAGCAAACCAGCGGTGGAGATTATATGACTGTATCGCTGAAAATCAGTGAGGACACCCGATGTTCTCGGTACTGATCGGCATGACCTGCTCCACTGGGATATATATATATAATAATGGTGCTATACCTATAAATGGCAGTTCCAGAGTCTCGTAATTCTGTTGGCTTCCTTCATCATCGGCTCCGGGCGTCTGTGAAGGTCTGGTACACATGCAAAATCAAATGGGAACCATGTAATCACAATCTCGTTTATCAGACATTAGGATATATATATTGAGTCAAAAAAGAAACTTCACATTCTTTCTACACGGCACTATAAAAGAACAAGAGATGGTAAGAAAATAGCTGGACACCTTCCAGTGATGGTAGCTGTGTGATGTACTGTGGTAGTCGAGGTACGAATGAAAATAATTGGACACCTTGCAGTGATGGTAGCTGTGTGATGTACTGAGGTGGTCGAGGTATGTATGAGAATAGTTGGAAACCTTGCAGTGATGGTAGCTGTGTTATGTACTGAGGTAGTCTAGGAACGTATGAAATTAGTTGGACACCTTGCAGTGATGGTAGTTGTGTGATGTACTGTGGTAGTCGAGGTACTAATGAAAATATACTCAGTCAAACAAGAAACTTCACATATTTTCTTCAGAGCACTTTAAAAGAACAAGAGATGGTAAGATGGTTAAATTGTTATTATTTCATTGCTGAGATTTGTGTGATATACTCGATACACTGACAGTGCCATAATCAGTTCCATTAGGCTACACCGCCGTTCCAAAACATGGGTATACAGAATGTCAAGTCACAAGAATAAAAATGCGAAATTTCTCAGTTCAATATCCTGTATGGCCGCCCCGCGCATTCACCACTGCCAAACACCATCTCCTAATCGACTGCCTGATGCTTGTGGACACGTGGTTGGGGATTTTGTGCCATTGCTCTTGCAAGGCAGCGCCAAGTTCCTGCAAATTTTAAGGTGGGTTCCTAAGACCACGAAGCCTTCTTCCAAGTGCATCCCAAACGTGCTCTATTGGATTAAGGTCAGGGGACCTCGATGGCCAGTCCATGACGTTGATTCCAGCGTTTTGAAGGAAATTTCGTGTCAACATCGCGGTATGCGGCCGAGCATTATCATGGGCAATATTGCCGATGTGACTCTAAATCTTAACTCACTCAATCACACAAATAATAGTAAATATAGGCCCACGATATGGACGTCGAGAATGTAGATTGGCAGCCTGCAACCGATTTCGAATGGTCTGTGAGGACAGTCGACCTCTAAACATCTCAGCCCTGGTTCGTGTAGCCGGCAGAAATCTGTCACGTAGGTGACGTAGGACGATTTGACGGTCTTCTGCTCGTGACGTCACACGTGGACGACCCGACCTTGGGCGATCAGAAGTGGTGCCAGTTTGTTGTAGACGACCTCGCAAGTCATACACAGTACGACGGCTGCATCCCATTGCTCTTGCGACGTCAATAACTGATTTTCCCGCTTGCAACATGCCAACGGCACGTTCACGTTGCACATTGGACAATCGTGGCATTTCAAGTACCGTTAGAACTGTGGTTTAAAAGTGTTTTTTCAATTCTTGAGGCCAATGCAAACACGGGCATATGAAGAAAACTTCGATGCGAAGATCACGTGATCGACTGCACGTGCAAAACCTGATCTGGCACTAACATCATTTGCACGACGAATGGATGGGTTTTGCTAACGTTTTTCTAGAGTCGAAAGATAGGGATCCCATTTCGGATACATAGATGTATCATCAGAAAAAAATTATTCATTATTTTTCAAATTACATTTTGTGAAGTTTCTTTTATTATTAATACAAGTATACGGTATTCATCTTCATCCTACCAGCTTCGAAAATGCCACTTAATTACAGAAGTTCAGTAAGTTTTATAACTGTACAACAGACAAAGGTGTCCACTAACTGACAAGTAAGCTGTTGTAATTTATATAAAACAGATAGATAGCCTTTTAGATAGCCTTTTACAATTAAATGGCGAATACATCTGTAAAATAAACACATTTTCGGTCGTAACTCTATTTTTGTGTGAATAAAGAACGAAAAAGGCAATTTTCGGTATAAAAAGCACCATAACTGTAAGTAGCTTTATCAGTTACACAGGCTAACTGTTGATTAAACAATTCTAGCTATAAAAATACACCTACCTCTCTGGATTCTCAATAGCTGGAACGAAAACGCAGTTGTCAGTGTTATATTCAGAGCCATACTATTTAATACTATTTTCAATAGAATTTACTATTATTTGTGTGATTGAGTGAGTTAAGATTTAGATTCACATCGGCAATATTGCAGCCATATAATACTTTATGGCTATAATACTATATATTTTAATAATCAATAAAGTCATTTCGTAAAATCTGTCCACAATGGACAGTAAAACAACAGAAAGAAATTTAAAACAGGCATGTAAGCATTAAAACATTTATTACTATGCAGGACAATGCAATATATAAACCGGGCTATAGGTCACCAACAACTGAATGTAGATCACCATATTGAGGACTATGGGGACTTACAGTATCGGCGCCACCTGCATGGACACAGGTAAATTTACATAATTTATTCAGATGCTAGCCATGCGTTAAAAGAACACATTTACTACGATTAAAATCACGGACAATGAAAAATACTGTGAACTATCATTTAAGAGCTTCTCGGATTTAATACATAGTACCGTTGGTATCTATGTAAGGTAGTCATATGTCTGCAGCTATGTGCATATTTAATGTCACTGATGTTATCAAGTTATACCACAAATATACTTACGTTTTGCAGTCCTCATTTTCCTCCTCTGGCAGATAATGAGGATGATGAGGATGATGGTGATGGCCAGGCCAACAGATCCTGTTGCTATGGCAATCACTTTAAATTTGCTTGTAGAGTCATCGTTCCCGATCAAAGAGGAAGCGTCCACTGTGGCAGAACAGAAAGACCAGATTATCAAAGTGAAAAAATGAATGTATTCTATGTGGAGATGTATGGGAATATTTGCCTCAGATGTTGTACAAGCGTTGACATGTTCTACACAGTGTACATGCACGTCTTCACCAACCACGACAACTAATGTCATTGATTAGTTCACATGTATGTCTGGCGTGCCGGGGGGACATTCATGAATTTTGATAAATGCTTATATTGTACATTATATCCTCTTTACAAATGTATATTTGATATGCCTTCTAAGGAACTGTATTATGTTTTAACGTAGGTGACAAGTTTTTCCAACCATCAAGTAAAGCATTAACCACACAATCCGTTTTGCTCAACGTGTTGGCAGAACACATGTCAGCGATATTGGGGCTACACACAGACTGTGATGCTTGTTTCAACTGCTGATGTCCCTTGTCTATCGGTAGCAGAGCACGATAGGTTCCCCGAATCAGAAGATGACGCGTGTTTAAGAAACTTCTGTCCGTAACTGATATCGCCGTTGTGACGCCACATGTAGGAGGTGACGGCAGGGTTTGCATCGTCAACATTCAACTTCAACAGCATTCCCGGCCGTGACACTGATGACATCTAGCCTTGTTGACAGGTGGATCTCCGGTGGAACTTATGTCAGACACAAGATTCCAGTTCATGTTTTACAAGGTTTAAAAAATAACCACAGCATCAAACAGTCACAGTGCACAATGCACAATATCATAAGACATTTATACCCTGTGAAAAGAATCCGTCTGATGGTATATAAATAATAGCTGGGACAACCACATCCATAAGAAATTTCTTCCAATTGAAGAGTAGACTGTACAGATGTACAATTTCATATATTATGAGTATGTGTTTACGAATCACTATCAAAAGTGTAGTGTGTTCAAGAAGAGCAAATGTCCTCAACATGTCTACTATAAAAAAAACCTTTCAAGACTTTACTGAGGCTTTGAATGTTGTAACCTTGATTGAACAAGTTCTGAGCAAGAGTCGTATGAAACTCAGCAAAAATAGCTCAACATGAGGGGAATGTTGCCTATCGGAAAGTTAAAATCATCCCTTTTGTCATACAGTCTTATGGGGTGTTTTTAATTGAGAATAGCTAATTACCGTGGAGATTAAATGGGCTAGTTATGCCAAATGAATGTTATTATAACTTGCAAACCAACTACATTTGATGGTCACCGGTCTGGTTAAAAGAGTATGTGGTACTGAATGCATCCCACAATCTTTGTATAAAATGGAGTATTGCTAGATCACCGCTTACATTCACTGGCACTACATTTATTGTTTGAACAAAATGATGCAACGACCAAAGGATGACGTTACCTTCAATATTGTAGCACCGATGTGACATCAGGGCGTTAAGGACAGCTTCTAATACATGTGCAATAAAACTGAACTATAATCATGAATTCATCTCACAATATCAATCAAGTGAGCAATAATATAAAGTAAACAGTTGCTCTTACATTTCATATTTATAGTTGCAGCTGCCCGTCCAGGCGTCATCATGTGCCCATTGTCAGCAGTACAGGTCAGTTGCCCTTGGTCAGACTTGGTTACGTTACGTTTGAGGAAGGTCGACCCAGTACTTGTTCGTCCGTTGTGTGACCACCTGAATGTGTGGACACTAGGGCTGGCATCATCCACGACACACTGCACACGGAGGTCTTCACCGACACCAACAGTAATGGTGTCAGTGCTCGGTTCCAGATGTACCTCTGGCGGGTCTGGGGACATATATGATCTTTTTGTCAAAGGCAAACTTTGTACACTATGCATGCTGCAATATCACATGACACGGAATTTGTAAAACGAATGACATGTTACAATGTTTATTATAAGTAACAAAAGTTTGGAGTATATACTTACTCCTTCATCAGGTTAATCATTCATCATTCATCATTCACCTGATGAAGGAATATGTATACACTCCGAAACGCTGTTTTCCCTGGGTGTACATTGGCAAATGTCTGCTGTAGTGGTTCTTAATTACCAAGTATAGACAATTGAATCAAAATTTACAACAGTAAATGTAGTAAAATGAAACATTTGACATTTCTTGGTGATATTTGTAGCACCGGTGGCTAAACTGGATATCGGGGCTGCAAATTGTCAGGACCTCACTGATCCTATAATCATGGTTTGACTACAATATTCACCATAACACTGATGACTGATTTGTTAGCAACATGCCTTTGGTTTTCATCTCACATCAAGCACACAAGCTGTTCAAAATGACCTTAAACCAAGCTTACAAATATATTATTAGTATTATAGGATATTTATATAGCGCACATATCCAGGCAACTAGTTCATGCTTAAGGCGCTGGTATTTTCCCCTCGATCATTGGATGTCAATCTCAACGGCACATCGTATTATCAATGGGGAGTATACAACTCTTGCAGCCACTAGGCGCACCGAGTTATTGTGGCTTTCTCATCCTAACGAGGTACCCATTCACAGCTGGGTGGACTGGGACACATAGTCACAGTACTTTGTCCAAAAGTTCACTGCACGTTGCTGTACCCGCAACTAGGTGTTTGCACGTATTCATGTGGCCACCATCTGGTCATATACCAACGGATTCGTGGGTTCTTTTAAGTGCACAGGGTTGTGTACTGTACACTAGGGGTTGTGACAACACTGAAAGAGTCTGCACAGAAAGTTGACTCCAAGGTTTTTACACCCGGTCACAGGTGGGCTCGATCCCGGCACCTCAACCTCGCTGGATCACTAGCCTGGCGTCTTAGCCAGCTCGCCCACCGCGCCCCACAAATATACCCTTGAAAAGTAGGGGAACCTAATTTGGAAAGGAGGTATATAAGCGTTAACAATCTTTTCAAAGACAAACATCTTATGAACGCACCACCATTTCTCTTTATCATCCCCTAAACACAACGCATGGAGTGCAGTAGGTGCACAACGCAGTAGGCGCACAGACGAGCATGGGTTGTCATTCTTGATTTTGACGGATTTTAATAAGGTCCATAAATCACTGTAGACCATTAATTTTGACAAACATCTTGCAGCACACAGTTGCTGGTGTTTGTTTCCAGCAGGTTGTTTTTTGTTTATACATGAAAATCCTACACACGCAAATTTCACGTCATACACCAGTCTTTGAAGAGCGATTACTGTACAAACAACTATGGTCATAAGGGAGTGCAAGTGGTGATGCACTCTCAAACATTCATTATTATTATATCAACTTGATTGAATTCGATATATCTCCAGATTTTTTTCATTGTAAATTTAACATGAAGTTCCCCTACTTTTTTAAAAAGTATACTTGAATTCTTGTCAGACAAATAAGCCCTCATTACTTCTCTCCAAATAATCATGTGTCTTCTTCCAAATGCCTTTATCCGTTCTTTTTAAAACATTTTGATGACTTCTATGATCACAATATATTATGATTTTTATGCTTTATACCATGGAACACTTACACCACACGTTGATTCGAGTAGAGACCATCACATTCTGGACAGTGCATGCTAAGTTGCCCGAGTCAGACTTGGATGTTATTGTTTTACTGAATGTTTGTCCACTGTAGGAACGTCCACTGTGTGTCCAGTTGAACGAAGTAACTGGAGTGTTGGAGTAATCGACCATACATACAAGACTGATGGACTGACCAAGAAGGACGTTTAGGACACTACCCGGCGGCTCCAGGTGGATACGCAGAGTATCTGGAAGAAGGGACATAGTAAACAATCATCAAATTATAAGATTAAATACTGAAACAGGAATCCAAATACATACTCAGCATAAATGTTTTGTACGTGTAGCTAAAGGTACCACAACCCCACACCCACCGATTCCCTTCATTACTATCTCAATCAATCTTTATTTACGGTACTGAAAAGGCCGTAGGACTATGGGACATATTTACATACAGTAGCAGTGGGTGCAAAAGAAATGAATATATCGTAAATAATATCACATCTGTAATGCAGAGGATCTATATATTTATTGCATGGAATTTTGTGACTGTTTGATTTTGGGATGACATGATGGTATAGAATTTGTCTGTTCGAGGATTCAAATAGAAAAATTTCTTTATGTATTCTTTTCTGGTATTCGCATACGGTGGACAAAGAAGCAAGAGGTGGTATTCATCTTCTACCTCCTGTTACCCGGCTCGTTATGGGATAACAAGTTTAAATCCTTAAAATAGAATGTAGAATTCCTTAAGTCAATGATCAGTCAAGGAGATGTTTCATCATTTATTGTGAGGTCAAGTGTGTTATTCATAAATACATATGCATAAAAGATATTCGAACAATAATCGAATATACACATTTTGATGGGGAATTAGCATCTCAAACGGTAGAGCTTGTATGTATAACAGATATAATATTTCTTCTTTCAACCTAACATCAAATAATAATCATATTCGGGAATCATTCATACAAATCATTTTAACACAAATCACAATTATACCTCAGCTGTCGTCATATAAAACATATATAAATGATATTTGCCACTGAACCAAATATTTACATTTGTTCACTATCAGCATATTAGTGATGTAAAGTACATCTAATGTGTCCATACATGAGGTGCAATATAGGCACAACTAATCCATGACAACACATCTAGTTCACTTACATATTCAATTAACGACTGAGATATATGCATGTCAATGTCCATGCAAAATAAAACATACACATGATATTGCCACTAAAACATACATGATATTGCCATAAAAAATATATTCCAGTCATGACATTATCTGACAGAATTCGTAGAGTTGTACCAAAGAACTTACCTTAAAATAGAATGTAGAATTCCTTAAGTCAATGATCAGTCAAGGAGATGTTTCATCATTTATTGTGAGGTCAAGTGTGCCGATCGGAAATCACTGACCTCTTTTTATAGCCGAAAACATCACTGATCAATGTTGGAATTCTTTGCGATTGGCCAAAACATATAATACGGTAATTACGATTTTGGTTGGTTGACATAGATCAAACAGTTACTGATTGGACAAGCCGAAACGAGTTTTGGAGGGTAGTAGTCACGTGACCGTGACAGGATAATTGCGTCAGCTTAATTACGGTTTGTTTTACAACCCTTGTCTGGATTAGTTTTTATAGCTGACGTCACATGACCGTGTCACAATGGTAATTGGCGTCAATTAGGTCAGATTTATTGCAGTTTATTTCTACAGTTGTGGCCTGGACATCTGCACGGTGGTCATTAAGACATTTACGGGTGCAATTAACAATTGATTGAGTTTTCAGTTGACACTTTCAATGGTATATGGCTTATGTTAATTATCTTTGCGAAGTGCGTTACATCAGCAGGAGCCATGACATGAAGTGACGTTTCGATATTACAACTCTTCAAAATGAAAGTGAAATTTGTGGCAAATATATATGAAATACATACATTCAGAAAAATATACAAATATGAAGAATATAATGATAAATTGTGCACTGTCACAATACCCTCGGGTGACAACAAGCTTTTGTCCTCAAAAGCAAAAACAAATGAGGTTCAAAGAATGCAAAACATGTCACAATGAATGTTTACACTAATCAGTGGTTGGTGCCCTTGTTTGCCCTTCTAACTACAAAAATAACTGTGGTCATTTGTCATCTATATATGACTGTTGTAGGGGTGAAGAATATTGTACAGACCATGATGGGATATAAAAATAGTAGCAGAATAAGGATGTTTTAAAATTGTACGAATGCGTCTGGCTTTAAAGCAGTTCACGCGGAATTTGTTTGGGATATTGATAGGTTGGCACGAATATTTATTTTTAATTGTAAGTCCTGGCCATTGAATATGAACAGTTGGAAAGATATAACCATCTACATAAATATCATACGTCGTAGTTAGCAAGGTAGCATCCCAGTTGGATGGACATGTACTTAAACTAAGTATGGGGAGGAGTTCACATTGAAATCCTGTTGTAAACTCAAGTGAGATTAAAGTACAGTGTGCCTTCTTGGACTTGAGTTGGTATACGATTACAATAAGCAACATTATGATAATGACGTGAAGCATGATGGGAAGATTGTCCAGGAATGTTGATGTTACCATAGATAGACTTATTGTGGGGGTAGGGGTAGTTGGGTTGTGATACTCAAATGAGGGTTGTTCTGATTTAACCAAAGAAGGTTGTGAAACCAAACAAAGAGTGGCAGCTAGTGCTCTATACTTGAAGAAGAGACAAACATATGCTGGTGACAATACAATGGATATAATTTAGGGTGAAGACTACGCCTTAATTCATACGCTGAATTACATAATCTGTTGCTTTCTCTCCAGAAACGGGATGCAAGAGAAGTCCAAATAGGATGCATCCAAAGAGGAACAAGAGTCCTGAGAAATAAGGAAATCACAGTTAGATGGGAATAAGTCTGGGGGTGAGAAGTGTAAGACGTCTCTTACATATCCCTAGCACTTTGTAGACACATATTTACTATGCACGTTGTTGAGGCTTATTCTCATCATTGTGTTAGAAGGGTGATAGGAAAGAAGTGAAAGGGAAGAGAGGTTATCAAGGTGGAGAATTGAATATTGCTATATCTGATATTGTATGTATGAACATATTTATGAGGCAGCCTTGAAGAAACGTGGCTTTTTCTTACGTACTGTGGCAGTCGTGGTGGCATGGAAACCATCCACTGTGTAGTCTTGCAATTTTTCTGACGCCATTTGGGCTACAGGGTACAGAACTGCATCAAAGGGTGCAGGTCTAAATCTTCTCTTAGGTACTTCAGCTGGTCTTCAGTGGGTGTGTTCACTGGAAGAGCTTGTGAGTTGAAGAACCGTTTGGCTTTGCCTTCAAGAACATAGGCGGGTATTGTCTTTGTTGTTCTTCATTAAGTTTATGTAGCTGGAAAGCATGTTGCAGAAGTCAATGAACAGGTTGACATTGTCCTCACCATCAAACCTGTCAACTCCCAGGTGTTTGATCTTGAAGGCCATTGTGGGTGAAACTTGTGGAACAGCTGGCGGGGGAGTTGTGGGTCTGATGGTTGCCGTTGGCTCTCAGGGTCGAGGTTGTGGAACAGCTGGTGGGGAAGTACTGGGCCTGACTTGACCTTGTTCTATCTATTTGGGAGCTGCTCCGGAGTCCGTAGGCATTGAAGGATGGCGTTGTTCCTTTCTGTTTTGGCATGTGAGAGGTTTTAGGGAAACCCTTTTTCCACCATTTGTTACCCCGCTTGTTATGGGATAACAAGTTTAAATCCTTAAAATAGAATGTAGATTTCCTGAAGTCAATGATCAGTCAAGGAGATGTTTCATCATTTGTTGTGAGGTCAAGTGTGTTATTCATAAATACATATGCATAAAAGATATTCGAACAATAATCGAATATACACATTTTGATGGGGAATTAGCATCTCAAACGGTAGAGCTTGTATGTATAACAGATATGATATTTCTTCTTTCAACCTAACATCAAATAATAATCATATTCGGGAATCATTCATACAAATCATTTTAACACAAATCACAATTATACCTCAGCTGTCGTCATATAAAAACATATATAAATGATATTTGCCACTGAACCAAATATTTACATTTGTTCACTATCAGCATATTACTGATGTAAAGTACATCTAATGTGTCCATACATGAGGTGCAATATAGGCACAACTAATCCATGACAGCACATCTAGTTCACTTACATATTCAATTAACGACTGAGATATATGCATGTCAATGTCCATGCAAAATAAAAACATACACATGATATTGCCACTAAAAACATATACATGATATGAAATTTATATTCATAAATAATATATTCCAGTCATGACATTATCTGACAGAATTCGTAGAGTTGTACCAAAGAACTTACCTTAAAATAGAATGTAGAATTCCTTAAGTCAATGATCAGTCAAGGAGATGTTTCATCATTTATTGTGAGGTCAAGTGTGCCGATCGGAAATCACTGACCTCTTTTTATAGCCGAAAACATCACTGATCAATGTTGGAATTCTTTGCGATTGGCCAAAACATATAATACGGTAATTACGATTTTGGTTGGTTGACATAGATCAAACAGTTACTGATTGGACAAGCCGAAACGAGTTTTGGAGGGGTAGTCACGTGACCGTGACAGGATAATTGCATCAGCTTAATTACGGTTTGTTTTACAACCCTTGTCTGGATTAGTTTTTATAGCTGACGTCACATGACCGTGTCACAATGGTAATTGGCGTCAATTAGGTCAGATTTATTGCAGTTTGTTTCTACAGTTGTGGCCTGGACATCTGCACGGTGGTCATTAAGACATTTACGGGTGCAATTAACAATTGATTGAGTTTTAAGTTGACACTTTCAATGGTATATGGCTTATGTTAATTATCTTTGCGAAGTGCGTTACATCAGCAGGAGCCATGACATGAAGTGACGTTTCGATATTACAACTCTTCAAAATGAAAGTAAAATTTGTGGCAAATATATATGAAATACATACATTCAGAAAAATATACAAATATGAAGAATATACTGATAAATTGTGCACTGTCACAGTAGAAACTTCACGAAATGCAATTTGAAAAATAATGAATAATTTTTTTCTGATGATACATCTATGTATCCGAAATGGGATCCCTATCTTTCGACTTTAGAAAACGTTAGCAAAACCAACTCAAACCCATCCATTCGTCCTGCAAATGATGTTAGTGCCAAATCAGGTCTTGCACGTGCAGTCGATCTTCGCAGCGAAGATTTTTTCTTCATATGCACGTGTTTGCATTGGCCTCAAGAATTGAAAAACACTTGTAAACCACGGTTCTAACGGTACTTGAAATGCCACGATTGTCAAATGTGCAACGTGAACGTGCCGTTGGCATGTTGCAAGCGGGAAAATCAGTTATTGACGTAGCAAGAGCAATGGGATGCAGCCGTCGTACTGTGTATGACTTGCGAGGTCCTCTACAACAAACTGGCACCACTTCTGATCGCCCTAGGTCGGGTCGTCCACGTGTGACGTCACGAGCAGAAGACCGTCAAATCGTCCTACGTCACCTACGTGACAGATTTCTGCCGGCTACACGAACCAGGGCTGAGATGTTTAGAGGTCGACTGTCCTCACAGACCATTCGAAATCGGTTGCGGGCTGCCAATCTCCATTCTCGACGTCCATATCGTGGGCCAATATTGACACCGTTTCATCAACATCAACGTCTGCTGTCGGCCCAACGTCACCTCCGATGGACCCAGAGAGACTGGAAACGAGTCGTCTTTAGCGATGAATCCAGGTTTACCCTCAGATTCGCGGACGGCAGGCATAGAGTCTGGAGACGACGTCGTGAACGGTATGCCCAATGTTGTGTACAGGAAGTCGACAGATTCGGGGGTGGAAGTTGGATGGTGTGGGGTGCTTTCTGTGGGAACAACCGTTCCCGACTTCTGGTCATCCGTGGAAACCTCACAGCTGCTTACCGCGACCAGGTGCTCACCCCTGAACTCGTTCCTTTCATGGCGGCTCATGGCCCAGGTCTACAGTTCCAGCATGATAATGCTCGGTCGTATACCGCGATGTTGACACGAAATTTCATTCAAAACGCTGGAATCAACGTCATGGACTGGCCATCGCATTTTTATTCTTGTGACTTGACATTCTGTATACCCATGTTTTGGAACGGCGGTGTAGCCTAATGGAACTGATTATGGCACTGTCAGTGTATCGAGTACATCACACAGATCTCAGCAATGAAATAATAACAATTTAACCATCTTACCATCTCTTGTTGTTTTTTAGTGCCCTGTAGACAGAATGTGAAGTTTCTTTTTTGACTCAGTATATTTACCTCTATCATCGTAAAGCATCATCATGTTCTAACATTTTTGGGGAATCTGGTACCTGGCATTTTCAGCAATGTTATCCAATATTTTATTACTTTCATGTAACTAAACATATAGTATCTGAGTCCAACCTTAAATAAATAGTAGATCACTACTTTGTCCAACCCAACTGCAGCACAAAATGTGCACTACTTCACCAGCTCGTTTTGGCCACGAAAGACATACTACCCCACACCACAACTGTGTCAAACCCGCCTCCACGTCACACCACCAAACATCACTACATTGTCAAACCCACAATCTCATCACACCACCCCACATCACCACATTCTTAAACCCATATCCATGTCACACCACCCCACATCACTACATAGTCATACCCATCTCTACGTCACACCACCCCACATCACCACATTGTCCAACCCACAACCTCTTCACACCATCCCACATCACCACATTGTTCAACCCAACTCAGCGTCACACCACCCAACATCACTACATTGTCAAACCCACCTCCACGTCACACCACCCCATGTCACTACATTGTCACACTCACAACCTCATTACACCATCCCACATCACAACTGTGTCAAACCCACCTCCTCGTCACACCAACCAACATCACATTTGTGTCAAATCTACCTCCACGTCACACCACCCCACTTCACTGCATTGCCAAACCCAACTCCACGTCACACCACCCCACATCACAATTGTGTCAAATCTACGTGGAGATGTATGGGAATATTTGCTTCAGATGTTGTACAAGCGTTGACATGTTCTACACAGTGTACATGCACGTCTTCACCAACCACGACAACCTTTGTGTCATTGACTAGTACACTATCCAACCCACCTCCATGTCACACCAACCCACATCACAACTGTGTCAAACCTACCTCCACGTCACACCACACCGCCTCAATACATTGTCAAACGCGTATCTACGTCACACCATCCAACAACACAACTATGCAAACCCTACCTGCACGTCACACCACACCACATCACAACTGTGCCAAACCTACCTCCACGTCACACCACCCCACATCACAACTATGCCAAACCTGCTTCCACGTCGCACCACACCACACCACATCACAACTATGCCAAACCTACCTCCACGTCACACCACACCACATTACAACTATGCCAAACCTACCTCCACGTCACATCACACCACACCACATCACAACTGTGCCAAAGCTACCTCCACGTCATACCACCCCACATCACAAATATGCCCAAACTACCTCCAAATCACTCCAATCCACATCACAACTATGTCAAACCTACCTCCACGTCACACCACCCCACATCACAACTATGCCAAACCTACTTCCACGTCACACCACACCACATTACAACTATGCCAAACCTACCTCCACGTCACACCACCCCACATCACAAATATGCCAAAACTACCTCCAAATCACTCCAACCCACTTCACAACTGTGTCAAACCCACCTCCACGTCACACCAGCCCACACCACAACTATCACAGCACCAAAAACCGGAGTAAACCATTGAAATATACGTAAATACAGTAGGAAATACATGCCATGACCGGGTTTACGTATGTTTTCAGATATTTCCTAACTTCGGGCATATATTTCATATGAATCTTTACCTTTGAAACATATGCTCATCGTACATTTTCGTATGCATAAGCACCTCGTTCATGTATGCCCTGACCGGATTGTCGGGGATTTCCAAATATGAATTGCAAAACAGATACCCCGGTAAATACATGATCATACAGTATTTCCAATGCATTTCTTTGAATTTCAGTGGGTGCTGAAATTTCCGATTTCGTTCTAAGTTTACTCGGGTTGGAAACATGTGAATTTACTTAGGTGGGGAAACACAAGCAAATTTTCAAATTTGCAAATGTTTACACACCTTAGACATTTAGGTATCATACCGGATTTCAGGGGTATGTATATGAACGGTTCATACACCATCATGTTACCTGTACTCAAGCAAGATAATCATATGTTTCCATCATGTGAATTACTTCACAATTTAGTACGTTTGAAATCAACGTTCACATGACCTCAATATTCTTATCACCAAAGAGCCTGACAAAGAAAGCGGTATTACGCAAGCTAACACGCCTTATTAAGCTGCACTCGCTCTTGCTACCAATATCAGTTACGCCTTGTCTGTGGTGTTGGCAAATCTTGTGAGGTGCATGTTTCGAGGGATTGAAAGGTTCAGTGGTGAACAAAGGGCGATGCGTTGCCCCCTTTGTCCTAGCAAGTGTCCCTAGATGCCCCAAAAGAATACGATTGGTCTCTCTTGGAGCACAGTCAAATATGCTACACGAACCAACTCGTAAT